CCTTTCGAAGCTAATTCTAGGTTTGTACATGTACAGCTGATACCATCGCAATCAGTCGAGCCATGGGAGGGGCACAATGAGCCTGCCGGCGGCGTTTCCACCACTGGTTATTTTCTTCCTTAATCGATCACTAACCGATCTTTATTGGTGGGCAAGGCAGCCAGAGGCGGGCACTTGTCCCGCCCCTCCTGTCCCCGAATGATTGCGACGTTATCAACTAGATGTCTGCTTTAATTGACTTTATCTCCTTATGTGCAATCTCATTGTAGAGATAGCCAACGTGTGTGTTCCCACCTTGTGATCTATTAGATGATTGTATTCGACGTTATTCATAGTAAAGTATGTGAATGCTCAGCCAATTTTTCATAAGAGCTACAAAAGGCCCTCACTCGTGGGCAGTGGAAGTCAGCTATCGTCCCAGTCCCTCAGAAATGACTATCTTACTTATTCGCGACTAGGAGAAGGCCCTTAATCTAGGTGAACATGATAACAGCTCGCAGTTCGACTTGGTGGGGCACTTTGCCGGTTCCTATCCATAACTACCTGTAAAGGCCCGTAGAGACCTGTAAAATCCCGTAAAGCTATGTGATAGCATGGGCTTCGTTCACATTTGACAAGAGTTTACAGGTCTTACCAAGCTGATACGTGCAACTTCGTCTCAAAAAAGTCTGTACGTGTAATTCACAGGAACTATTCGAAAGCGCTTATGCCTCCCCCCCCCTCCCCTAAGCTGAACAGCGCCAGTGCTAGATCTGACCAGATGGTTAACATTGAAGATACAGAACAGAATCGTGGCTCTGTTTCCATCTGCGTCCTTAGCCCACTATTGGCTGACAGGTACTAACTGGTCACTTACGTCCTGGCCACTTTGCTAGCTTGGTCAGCTAGCCTCAAAATCAAGCGTTGCTGGATTTAATAGCTAGCAGAAATGAAATCATTCGGAAGAGCTTACAAAAGGCTGACAAAGAGCAGAGCAGCATGAAGAAGGTAAACCACTGAAGTGAGCGACGCGATGTGACGCGAGCATTCGCGCCGCGTGTGCACATCGATCACGACAAAAAAGAGAATGACTACTTTCCAGAAAATGCCCGATCCCATTCCCACAGATATATTATTCCAGTGCAACCCGGGCACAACGTGGTGAGGAAACGCCAACAAGAGGTGGTATTCGAGTGGTTCGGGCGAAGCCCCATTCGCTTCGCTCAACAGGCCCGCACAAGTAAGAGCCATCATCCCCTTTCCCTTCAACTGACGACTTTCTTTTTCTGAATCGGAGGCAAACTGAGGCAAAATGTTGGCCGAACTAAACGTTTGGGCTGGAAAGGGGTCCTTACTAGTGGCAAAGCTAAGTGAAAGGAGTGGCAGTGGTTTTCACTAACTTCCTTATCGCCACCATAAGCACAACAACTTCCAAAAAGACCTCATAGGGATCTAGGACCGTTCTCAGTCCCGCATAAGCTACATTACTGCCTCACCCATGAAAAGTAAGTTATTTATCACAGATCATAGACTCAGGTGGACAAAAAGTCCTTTTTCAATTCTTCAGTACTCAATGGACCACAGCATTACGAATTTTCCAATGAGTTCCACGTCATCGACAAATGACTGACGTTTGGCTTTTAGGTGCTTCTCCTATTCAAAATAGCTTTCCGCTTTCGAAATTGATATATGTCCCACTTCAAATATCTAATAATCCAAGCCATCGCTTCTAGTCTGACCAATTTATTCAAATTTATTATTTTTCTGCATTTTTCTAACAACAACTTCAACAACTTGCATAATATAACAAACAAGTCACAATAAAACAAGACGAGGTTTGGCTTGAAGGGGAATTTTGCACGGTGCTACTTCCTTTTCTTTCGTGTTAGCTCACAGGTCTCACTTGGGTCAGACCCATACTTTCTTGTAAAACTGTCATCACAAGGTAACCTGAACAAGCTTCGCCAGTACCATTTGGTGTCCCCGCCAAGCTTAACTGCGTCTAAAATAACAACGAGTAAAGTACAACATCTCAAATTCCCACGCCAATCGATTCTGAGAGATCAAAGTCAACAGATAATCCTGGCATAGTGGATGGTTCAATTAGGTCGAGCGCTATCCTTCGTCGTTGAACATTCGACTCATCCAGTCGCACTCGTACTTTTACTCGATCTGCAACCATCCATAACTCAGCTACTAATGATGCAGTAAATGGCAAACAATAAACAAACAACAACACGGCAAATGGCCCGATCGCGGCTGCAGAATGGCTTTCTCTTGCGCAATCTGTCAACTGCAGGTCTTGCCGTCGGAGAACTCTTTTTGCAAAATACACCTCCCCTCCCCTCCTTTCCCTATAACAACCAAATACCACCCCCTGGCTAGAGATTTTCACGTGGGACGTGCCCTGTACTGAAAGGGCTATGAAATACACCCAGAATCAGATCCTATGATTCCCACGAGTTTCTAAAACATTAAGCTGATGGTCAGCGGAAAACGCCTATGGTGACTGTAAGAGGTCGACTACCGTAGCATCAGCTACAAGCATTCCTCACGAGTTTTTCCCTTTCTAGGAAGATCCATTTAGACTTTAGGTAGCCAAATCTCAACTCTTCAACCTGAGCTAAATCAAAGGAGTTTTGAACTCTGGAGAAAGCAGTGTTGATTCCAGAAAACTTCAATATTCATTACTTCCTGCGATGCTCAGAGGGCAGATCTTCCGTGTATGGATGGAGACAATAAGCCACCGAATCCATGTCATTAGCACATTTCTCGCCTCTGTCATCGTGTCGCACCAATGAAGAAGGCACAAATGGCTGGCTTTCTCCGCCCACTTAACAAGCGTGGACTCTGCTTTAACGGTAAGGAGCCCGTTAGAATCAGACAGCCAGGAACAACCATCAACCAGATCGGCGCCTCACTGATAACCTCACCAGCCGAGTAATCGAAGGCAGCGCTACGATCGTTCTGAGTAACGCTCCCGTGACTCAAGAATCTCCTGAAAAGAAAACATTCCTATTAAAAGAACCACTTACCGAGCTCTTTAATCACATGTTCACCGCTCCGTACGCAATATTCCTCGATATCAATAGTCGTGCCTTTTCCTTGTTGCAACACAATCACCGATTCCAAACCATACTTCGGTACGAATACCTGAAATTAGACCAACTTCTGGAAACTATTCTTGTTTTCAATCCACCGAAGAAGAACAGAGGAAGTAAAGAAGAAAACGATGCTGCTTCCTGAAAACCCTTTACTTTGAGTCTTGATCGCTGCGAATGCTGGGGCCTATCAGGGACGCTGGCCTTGGCGCGGCGCCAGCCCACCACCAAACGTTTACACCGGCGAGCGACAACAGTCGCTGGAAAAAGGGCTGGCGCCGCGTCAAACCCTGTTTCCCTGGCTCTAACGCGCTCCGGCATCTGCAGCGAAAAACGCTATAAATCTCAATGGTAATTTTTCGAACCACAAAAAAGACTAATGATGCAGCACTGATCATTCTTTCTAATGCGCCACGCATTTTCAGCTACTCAAAAGTCGTAGTAGCATTATCGATGCGATCTGGCCTTTGTAAGGACGTGAGGGGCCCACCTGATGTACACGTTACTGCTTTTATCCCCCCCCCCCCGAACGAGTCCAGTACCGGCCCCGGAGGGACGGAAGGATTGCATGAAAAGGGATGTGGGCCGACTCCAGATTTCATTCCTTGAATCCATGCGCTTTCCTACTTCCCATTGTACCACCCGCCCCC